GGGATGGGAGCTACTGGTCTCAGCCCATATCGCAATGGGTTCTGTTAAAGAGAGCCACCACCACAATCAGCATACTTGTTTGCAGCCTCAGCAGAGGAAAATCACAGGAGTGACTGTGCACAATGAATTATTTCCCCTTCTGGGCTTAGAACAACTGGGGCTTTGATATTAAAAATACTTACCATTCTTACTGGTTTTCTTTATCAATGCTGTGTGCATGAAGCCCACAAGAGAAATGCATTACAAATACTGAAGGGATTGGTTAGATAAAAGCATTGTTAAAGATACATCCACACAGTCAGAATTCAGTCACAAGTATATTGCAGAACAGGTCATTCCCATGTATAATGCATTTCTCACAGCCTGTGCCTTGCACCGATTAGCACAAATTCTATTTCCACACTAACCTGCCTCAGGCTGTGTCTACTTCACTGAATTTTACTGGAGAGAGAAGTTATATAAATATTTTTTACATGTATTGCACAATACATTAATATATGGTAACTAACAGGTTTCACAGTAAGACTTGAAGAAGTTAAATTTACTAAATCAATATCCAATGCAATAGGGTAAACATAGGTGTATGTGAATGACAAAGCCACGTCTCTGTATTTAATAGGAACCAGGATGTGATTCATGATGCTTTCTGAGTGCAAATATTGACAGATGCAGAATGTCACCAAATTCTTACCTTGCTGATCAAGAAACTGAAAGCAGCTTGGAGCAAGTAGTACAGAGCTCACTGTCTGACTCACATATTCAGTTAACTCTTCACTCACCTGGGGTATGACTGTACTTCTGCTTTGAATTTTTAACTCACGGGCCCTGTTTAAAAATAAACCCCACCAAAACCAGAAAATCCAGTTTCTGGTTAAGTGAAAACCAGTTTGGGTCAAATTGTGCCCCCCAGGGACACTCATGCAGCCCTATTGGCTTCAGTGACCATTTAAAAGCTTGTGCATAAGATCAGTGGGGTTGCAGAGTTGAAAACGAGGCGCAAGTCGGCTCTGGTTTGGTAAGTTCTCGCTACTGGTGACAACTACCCAAGAGACTGAAAACATCAAACACTCCTCTGGATGGGTAAAGGAACCTGTGATGAAATACCTGGTTGTTTGCAAGATGCTCAGATACCATGATGGTAAGAGATGTACAAGTGTCTAGATAGCAAAAGAAGACAGTAATAAATAATACCTGGCTCTTCTATAACTCTTTCCTTCCGTAGCTCTCCAGTGGTTTACAAAGGTCAGATCATTATCCAGCTGGAGAAGCTGAACAGAGAGGCAAAAGCAACGAGGAGTCTGGTGGCACCTTAAAGACTAACAGATTTATTTGGGCATAAGCTTTCGTGGGTAAAAATCCCACTTCTTCAGATGCATTGAGTGAAAATTAGATACAGGCATAAATATATACTGGCACAGGAAGAGGAGGGAGAACCTTACAAGCGGAGAACCAGTGTTGACAAGGCCAGAGAGAGGCAAGAGGCTTGCCTGAAGTCACCCAATAGGCCAGTGCAGAGGCACTATTATTTTTTAGAGGATACAAATAGATTACAACAATGCAGTCAGAACCAAGGCCATTGTGTGGGGTACTGCACAAACACAGTAAGAGAGAGTCCCTGCTCCAACAAACTCATTTATCTAGATTAGTGGTTCTCAACATTTTCCATCCTGGGACCTCCCCCACCTACTTGGGACCTAGCCAGAACCCCCTCCTATTCAGCAGTGGGAAGGGTGTGGTGGTCATAACCTCTACCCTGTTTGTGACCCCTAGATTGAGAAACCCCATTCTAGTTAGATTTCACATTTTAAGAGTAAGAGGAACTAACAGAGTGTGTGTTACAATTAACATACTTCATTATTTTCACCATGGTAACCCTCATCCTTCTAGCTCCCCATCCTTTGTTTACTGGCAATCCCTGTTGTGTCATGTTGATTCAACTGTAAATCTCTTGGGGCAAGAACCGGTCTCATCTACAGACCACCACCAGCACTCCTGCCACTTCATGTCCATCATCATTACGGGCAAGCCATATGGCAGGATTCCTTTGTGTATGGTGTCAACAAAAGGGAGCTCCTGTGCACAGTCTATGACAAGCTTGCTCAACTTTGCTAATGAAAAGATTGTGTGGCAGCTAATAGAAGGTTCACTGAGGGTCAGCGCAGAACAGCACTGTGTTCCCTGAAATCCTGGTGAGTGATGGCTGCTCTGTATTTGGGCCCCATAATTTTTAAACTAGCAGGATTTACCATCCAGTTTCCGACAAACAAACAATTTTGTGTTTCCTGGGTTCTAAAGTAATCAGAAAGGAGACACTTTTAAAGGAACAATGTCACCTACTTTTCAGGTCCACATGGACAAACCATAAATATTACTCATGTGATGACTCTAAGCAACAGCATTGAGCAACAGCTCAAACAATAGTTTGCAGAGAAAGGACAGAGGCAGACTATAGGAATAAAGCTCTCAGAGGTGGTACGCTCTGGTGGAAAAAGGTTTTGACAATACCTGCTTATTTGAAGTATCTTTAGGCACAAGGGAGAAGAGACCTCTCTGGCAGGAATGGTTCAGCAATATCCAAAGAGTGGGGTGAACTCTACCAGAGGTAGAGAAATTCCCTATCCTGCCTTTACAGTCCAATACTGGGTATGATTCACTTATGGAGAGCACCTTCTTACTCTAGACTCTTCTTTGAAGTTTCCTTCTGCTGAGTAGTGTGTCCAATTCTGGGTGCCACACTTTGGGAAAGAAGTGGACAAACCGGAGTGTGTCCAGAGAGCAGCACAAACAATAAAAGGTTTACTAAATCTGGCCTATCAGAAAAAGTTTTTTAAAATAGGCATGTTTAGTTTTGAGAAAAGAAGATTGGAGGGGCAGGAGTGCTGATAGGAGGAACTGGCTTTGGGGGGAAGGATAGCTCAGTGGTTTGAGCATTGGCCTGCTAAACCCAGGGTTGAGAGTTCAATCCTTGAGGGGGCCATTTAGGGATCTGGGGCAAAAATTGGGGATTGGTCCTGCTTTGAGCAGGGGGTTGGACTAGATGACCTCCTGAGGTCCCTTCCAACCCTGATATTCTATGATATCTTCAAATGTGTAAAGAGTGGTTATAAAGAGGACAGGGATCAATTGTTCTCCATGTCCACTGAAGGTAGGACAAGTAGTAATGGGCTTAATCTGCAGCAATGGAGGTTTAGGTTATATATGACAAAAACCTTTCCAACTCTAAGGGTAGTTAAGCTCTGGAACAGGCTTCCAACGGAGGTTGTGGAATCCCCATCACTGGAGGTTTTTAAGAACAGATTTGACAAACACCTGTCAGGGATGGTCTAGGTATATGTGGTCCTGCCTCAGCACACGAGACTGGACTTGACGACTTCTAAGTCCTTTTCAGCCCCTCATTTCTACGATTCTTAGATTACATCAGGCTCTGTCACCTTCAGCATTTTTGTAGCAGCCTGGCAGAAATACCCAGACTGAAGAATCGGCGTTAAGAATCCATCTGAAGTCCTGAATGTCAGAGAAGGAAGGCTATACCCACACCTTTGAGACTGACTCAGGAAGTCACCCAGGAATCAGCACCAGTTGAACTGAAATCCTTTGCTCCAGAGTTTCTCTCTTATTCATACACATTTGGATGACATTTCTGCTTTGGAAAGGAAAGTGGAAGCAGTAGGAAACTGCCAGATTTGGGAGTTATAGCTCCATGTGATTCGGAGGGTTCTGCATTAGGGTATAATGCTACATTCACCAAAATTAACAAGGACAGTGCAGTTCTGTGCCACAGAGTAGACTACCTCAAAACCAAAGGAGTGGAGGAGATATTTTTGCTTGGCTGGCATACTGGAGAACATGGCATCAGGAACTCTGCAACTTTGTTCTTGCTGGATGCTTCACAACTTTGCTTGAAGCAATGGGTCCACTGGATCCCATTATTTGATGTCACCTAGAAGACTTCCTGATGGGTAACTGTGCTGCCAAGACTTCTTCTAGGATTGGTTAACGTGTGAAGTTTAGAATATGAGGATTTACATTCTGAGTGTGCTAAGGAGAATGCAGAATCTGGAAAACATTTTCTTACTGAAAAGTGCATTATACAAACAATGGAAAAGTTTAATGGTAAAATCCCAACTGCATTAGATAGTGAGGTACCAGGCCAAACAAAAACAGAATGGTATGTACACAATACAAAACAGAATACAGTGCCCTCTGAATTCAACTCCTTGTCCTAGCTTTAGCAAATGATGGGGCTCCAATACCACAAAAGTGGATATGGTATAAAAATCAAAGTAGGGTGAATGTTGAAGATGCCTTTACTTTAAAGCAGACTACCCTTCTCTCAGATCTCTGAATGCCTCTCTGCCTCAGCATAGCAGGGAGTTGCCACATACACTGAAAGCTATATTTTGTTATGGCTAATTCTGAGGAATTCCTGAGGCAAATTTAAGTCACAAATGTGGGGGAAATAATGTAAGGCACAGATTTAGGCCTCCTTAGATTCAAAAGTCAAATTCATAGTCCCTCCCACCCTAGCCTCTAGCTCCTTCCCCAACCAACTACTTACAGTGGCAGCATGTAACAGTTATCACTTCCCATCACCATAGCAGTGTGTGGACTGGCAGTTCATCCATCTGCTCGCGCACACATATCCTACTTAGCTCAGTCTTTTGTTTTATATTGAGAATTTTTTAAACGCAGGTTTTTAAGCAATATTCTAAATCGATGAGTGCTTATCTTAAAAAGGATCAGAAAAGATAGAAACTCTGGACAAGGGTAGGAGTGTTAACACAGTTCAGTGCCTTTAAAGGATTATCACCCCCATCTGCCCCACTACAAAAACTGAAGCTCTATTCACGGGGGTGTTACTGACTTGAAGACTTTTCACTCCTGTTTACCAACATGGTTACTTAATTCTGACACACGAGAGACAGCTGCTGGCTTAGACTGAACACAGAAGCTTGCTGACGAAATACCCAATACAAATAAACACTGGTACAACCAGGAAATATCATGTGTTAAGATTTATTAATAATAATAATAATAATAATCATCATCATCATAATTTTTCAAAAACAACGAGAGAGAGTGCATTATACACAAGATCTGGTACTCAGTGCTTTTTATTGGCTGTTTTCTCTGTGCCAGTGTACTGAAGACTTGGGTAGTGGTAAGTGGATAAAAAACCCAACTGGGACATTTCTCCAAGGAAGGAAGGAGAGAGGGTAGGCAGGAAGTTCAGAATCGGACAAACGTGGCATCAATCTGCCGGACAGAAGGAAGAGTCAGCATGATTTTGCGCCGGTACTGAGGATCCTTCTGCAGGGGGTTTCTCTCCAGATATACAGTTTCCAAATTCTTGGCTCCCTTCAGCTCATCCAGGTCGCTCCAACTCTCAATGAGATTATCATTCATCTGTGAAGCACACACACGAACACTCCCAGCAAAGCTTCATTAGTGAGAACATAACCCAGACAGACACCGCTCATGAGGGGTTACCAAGAACCAGGGGGCAGTTAGGCTGTGCGGTTACCAGCCTGATAGAATCTAGCTAGAAAGAATGACACCGTATAAGCTTCTTCAGTGTGAAGCCTTGCTGAGCCTTCTCTGTTCCCTACTCCAAGCACAGTTATTCTTCAGCAATATCCACCACAAGACCTCGCCCCCTGGTAATGTGTAACCAGAATTCAACTCGACAGGCTTTAACATACCTTGCCCGTTCAGAGGATCCATGGAAATGCCACCTATTGGCTCTCTTGTCTACAGAGCATCACAGGAATGCCTTACTCACTGTAAACCTCACTCCCTCGTGACTTGTCCCTTCAGCACATTGCTGCAGTTTTGGCCTCAAGGATAGCTTCATAGGTTCCCCTTTAATATTGTTGCTTTAATATTGTTCCCTTAAAGCCAGCTCCTGCCTGACAAGGCAAAGCTTGAGTTCTCCAGTCTAAGGGCACCAATCTTTCCTAGGCAGGACATTCTCATGTAGGGGTGGAAATGCTCTAAGCCTCGCTTCAGCAGGTTTCCTCTTGTGTCTCCACTGGGAGGCAGTCTGACTCCCACAGAAGAGGCTGCATGGTTCAAGCTATAAACATAAGACCTGCTCAGATCTCAGTGCCACCTACCACGGAGGCTTCATGCCCCCCCACTGCAGCCAAACCCCCGCAGGGTTAACTGTGGTCTCTTGACAGCTGGGCACTGCTGCCCAAAATACACCCACTGGAAAGCAGGATGGCTTCCATAGCACAGAGACTTCATGCATGTCACTGTAGACAGTATGCAGCAGTGCTTTGAACCACAGTTGGCAAGGGGGAGGGATACAAACATGCCATTCAGTGTTATCATTCCATCCCACATTTGGATCCTGGCCGAATTCCAGTGGGGGTGTCAGAGGAAGGGAGAAGCATACCATGCAGCCACAATTCCCCTATCCCAGATGTGAAAGCTTCAGCTCTCCTTTGCTCCTGCAAGCAGAGCCTGGAGGTTCAGAGGAAGTTACTGCAGCAGCAGCATCTTTACTCTCAAAATAAGAGATCAGACCTTTTTCAGCACACTGCTCCCAACTCACATCATGCAACCAAGGCAAGCAGCACTGAGGACTCCCAACTTCCCCAAAATTGCAATTGTGAAGTGGAAAAGCAGTGTTTTTCATTGAAGTGCCTACTTCCCACCACCCCAGGAAAAGACAGCTGCTCTAACAACAGGGGCCATGTGTCACCAAAGGATGGTCATGGGGTTAAGACACTGGACTGGGCCTCTGGAAATAACTTCTCAGCTCTGCCACAGAGTCTCTGTGTGACCTCAGATAAGTCTATCTGTTGGTGCCTCAATCGCCCCTGCCCCATCCATAACATGGGAGTAATTTTTCCCCTATCTCAGAAGGGTGATAGAGAGGCATTCATATACTATTGTGCCAGAAACCATATAAATACCTAGTTAGAGTAGGACAAACTATCTGCAACATTCCTGGACTTAACAAGTGATACTACATCTGTGCTAACTTTAATACCCTTATTTAGGGCACTAAATAGGGTCAGAAAGATGCATACAACATTTAGGAACTGGAACCCTGCAATTAATAAAAAAATAATTCTTTAAGGTGGGCTTCATACCTCACTCAGTTCTCTCCATCAGGAGGGATGTAGGGGCAAATTAAAAGAGTATTAAATGGGAAAACTGGAGGCTTAGATGAGGAAGGGAGTTAGAGATCATGAGCAGACCTTTACCAATGCACTGCTGTCCAGTTCAGTAGTGGGCTCAACAAAGGTAAAGTCCTATAGAATTAGGTTGCTCCCTTTCCCTCCTGAGGAAGAAACAACAGCAGCTGGAGCAACTTTTTTCTTCTGGGAGCAAAATGCTTTGTAAATGTCTCCATTTGGTTCAAAGGGAGAGTCTAGTAACTTGAAAAGAATCGCACCACATTCTGCACACGCAAGCTAGTCTGTAATGTCTCACTTTGAAGACAGTAGTAGGCCACACTTCATAGGATGCCTGAGCTCCTTGGCGTACAAAGGCAGTTCATTCTGGCATGAGTAGGCACAGATGGAAATCACAAACCTGACTAATACAGCCTCTGAAAGGTTATATTCAAGGGATGGAAAAGCACCATCCAAGAAGCCTCTATATTGGATTCTAGCTTGATTTCATGTCCAGCTACTTCTCAGTCCTGCAGCCAAAGCCTTCATTCAAGGGCTCAGATAGTGAAAAGTTCCAAATGATGAAAATGTGAAACAGAAAAATGTGGCTTCTAGGGCTTCTATTTATTAAGCACTAGCAGAGCAAGTCCAGACATTCCCTAACTGAACATAGCAAGAAACACTGTACACTATGGGGGCTGGAGCACTGAGATTCCAGGTGGATATCTACTCCTCTGTTCAAACGTTGTTCCCTTCCTGACAGAAACTACAGAAACAAAATGCGGGGCTTAGCCATCCAGGATGCCACCAACCAGAGCCAGCTCAGTATTTTGATCTGGCTAGCAGGAGTGGAAACACCCAGAGGACAGCTGAATTTTTCCTAAGTGGTTACAAGAAACTGACCAAACTGACTCTGCTCTAAAACTGCTTTTAAACGCTTTGGCTCACCTCTGCACCAAAATGCATTATATCTACTTCTATTACACAGCCATACTGTAACTTACAGAAAAGCTAGCTGTGCAAAAATGGGGGAAGGCAGAGCTCTATACTTCAAAGCCATAACCCGAGCACAGTGGCAAGATCAGTATTCTAAGGAGATAGGCACCTGACATAATTAAGGGCCTGCTATCATTAAAAACCTGTAAAATGAATTAACTGTGATGACCCTCCCCCCATGCAGACAGGTAAGGAGAAGAGGGGCTTACAACCTTGTCACCAGAACAAAGGGGACACCTGAAAAAAAACTCAGTCCACATCTAATGAGCACTGGAGCCGGAATCTAAGATGTACAACTCACCATTTTAAACCCTCTTCACCACACCCAATCAAGAAGGATTTCTTTTAGTACGTATCTATTTCAGCAAGGCCTGCACTTACCCAGAATTCCTGCAGCTCTGTTAGATGGCTGACATTTTCAATCTTTTTGATCCTATTGGATGCAATGTCCAGCATTGTAAGTTTGTTCTGAAATAAGCAAATGAAAACTTTAGCTTGGATTTCCTCATTTCCTCCTCTACCCCACTCTGAGTCCGAGGGCTGAAAATTCTGAGGAGCACTAGTAAACCACTGCCAGCTGGCTATTATGGTTAGCTAGCAAAAGTACAATTGGTTAATTAGGCTCTAATTAGTATTGTCCTATACTCCTCCCCAGAATTATAAAACTTCTGAATATGAGAGAAAACACATTCAGTGCAAGGAGAACTCTCACTGTTTAACTATAGCAGAAAAGATAGTTTTTAAATCAAGACAGCTTGCCAACTTCTCAGAAGCAACTGAAAACAATTACTAGCTAGCCAGTAGTTGCTGACAAACTAATTACTCCTGAGCAGTGAGCTTTCTTTGTAATATTTTAAGATTAGTAATCAGACATTCCAAGACGACGTTCTGAAATCTACAAAAAATCTGATTAAAAGAAGGTTTCAGAGTGGTAGCTGTGTTAGTCTGTATCAGCAAAAACAACGAGGAGTCCTTGTGGCACTTTAGAGACTAACAAATTTATTTGGGCATAAGCTTTTGTGGGCTAAAACCCACTTCATCAGATGCATGGAGTGGAACATACAGTAGGGTGGTATACATACACAGCATACGAAAAGATGGGAGTTGCCTTACCAAGTGGGGGGTCAGCACTAACCAAAGAACTCTCTCAGGCGGCATGTTTGAAGACAGGAATTCTATGCATTAGGAAGCCCAAGAGTTTTAGAATATGTAACCCTTAACGTGTGTATGCAGGAGATCAGCTAAATTACTCAGATTCCTCTGATCCCCAGGGGTGCCTCACAATGCCACCTATTGGTAAAAGGGCATGAACACATCACAGGCTTCTCCATAAGGACAATCCAAAGCAGAAATACAGAAAGTTGGACTGATTTAAAAGAGCAAGATGGCATGGTTTGCCTCTTCTGACCCATGACAACTCACTTAGTCATTTCTGGTGCCCGTGTAAGAGAAACTCATGGCTACCTATTGCAGATCCAATTCATCTTTCAACTCAGCAGTTTAGCAGCAGAGATAATCAGCAGAAGTGCTGTCAGGCCTCCCTGTGCTAGTTATCAGCCAAATTGTTACATTAACTGCTTCAAGACTCCATCTAGCTGGTACAGTTTTACAGTCCACTCCAGACTGACTAGAAAACATGCCGGTTCCCAGCAGAAGAGGCGGCGGCTCATGTTTTGTTCTTTTAGGTATAACAGACAAACAATTTATACGGTTTTCCAAGAAGCTCAACTTTCTTTGGGTAACTTAAGGAAAACAGGAACTTCCCAGCAACACCAATGTAAGATGAACCCAGCCATTCTGCAAAGTACTGTAAGGCCAGCCCTTCTTAAAGAAAGCCAAATGAGACACTCACATTGTTCTCCAGTCCCTCGATGACTTCTATGCCATTGTGGCTAAGGTACAGCTCACGCAGATTCACCAGGTTCTGCAGACCCTCGATCTTGGTCAGCCGGTTGCTCTGAAATTGTACAGGAGGGAGTGAAAGTCCAGTCCAAAGGAATGAACCCAGAGTGAACTCTTATACAAGAAAGAATTTCAAGAACATTTCTACAGAGCATAGATCATTTAGATAGAAATAAAGTGGATGGGAAGGAAGGACTTTGCCTGTTACAGAGGAAGGACAACACTGTACTTGATGGATGTGGGACATTCAATTACTTTGAAACTTTTGTAACCAACTCACAAGCAAGTTCCAGGCGAGCCAGAGTTCCTTCAAACCTGGCAGGATCTCTGATTCTCCCCCTACTTATGACAGCTGCAACCCTGAAGGCCTTTTCTTTTTAGTTTCTTTAGAAGACCAGGCAAGGACTTCAACAGCACTCATTTTATATTCCTCTTTTATGAGCTGGGGAAGAGGATGATGTAGCAATTATAAACAGACCCTCAAATACATCTGTGATACGCTTACTGTGTCTGTCATACATGACAAGTTTTTATTGGCAGTGAAACAGTGTGTGTGTGTGTATGAACATCTGATTGCTATACCCCCTGCTGGAACTTGCCAGGCTGCTATATTGGTGTGCAGAGGAAAAGAGATTGTTTCTCTGACCCAGACTGAGGTGTCATTAGAGGTGGTTTTGGAACAAATTGATAAATTAAACAGTAATAAGTCACCAGGACCAGATGGTATTTACCCAACAATTCTGAAGGAACTCAAATATTAAATTGCAGAACTACTAACTGTGGTATGTAATTTATCATTTCAATCAGCTTTTGTACCAGATGATTGGAGGATAGCTAATGTGACGCCAATTTTTTAAAAAGGTTCCAGACACAATCCCAGCAATTACAGGCCAGTAAGCCTAACTTCAGTGTCGGGCAAACTGGTTGAAACTAAAGTAAACAATTATCAGACACACAGATGAACATGATTTGTTAGGGAAGAGTCAGCATGGTTTTTGTAAAGGGAAATCCTGCCTCACCAATCTACTAGAATTCTTTGGGGGAGTCAACACGCATGTGGACAAGGGGGAATCCAGTAGATATAGTGTACTTAGATTTTCAGAAAGCCTTTGACAAGGTCCCTCACCAAAGGCTCTTAAACAAAGTAAGCTGTCATGGGATAAGAGGGACGGTCCTCTCATGGATAACTGGTTAAAAGTCAGGAAACAAAGGGTAGGAATAAATGGTCAGTTTTCGGAATGGAGAGCGGAAAATAGTAAATAGTCCAGCTCCCAGGCTGAAAATGTCACGGAGGTCAATGGAGACAAAATCGTAGCCTTATTCATAAATGATCTGGAAAAAGGGGTAAACAGTGAGATGGCAAAATTTGCAGATGATAGAATACTAAAGAAGATAGTTAAGTCCTAAGCAAGAGTTACAAAGGGATGGGTGACTGAGCAACAAAATGGCAGATGAAATTTAATGTTGATAAATGCAAAGTAATGTACACTGAAAACAATCCCAACTATACACATAAAATGATGGGGTCTAAATTAGCTGTTACCACTCAAGAAAGAGATCTTGGAGTCATTGTGGATAGTTCTCTGAAAACAATCCACTCAATGTGCAGCGGCAGTCAAAAAAGAAACAGAATGTGGGGAATCATTAGGAAAGGGATAGATAATACAACAGAAAATATCATATTGCCTCTATATAAATCCAAGGTACACCCACATCTTGAATACTGCGCACAAATGCGGTTGCCCCATCTCCAAAAAGATATATTGGACTTGGAAAAGTACAGAAAAGGGCAACAAAAATGATTAGAGATATGGAATGGCTGCTGTAGGAGGAGAGATTAATAAGACCGGAACTTTTCATCTTGGAAAAGAGACGGCTAAGGGGGGATATGAATGAGGTCTATAAAATCATGACTGGCATGGAGAAAGTAATTAAGGAAGTGTTGTTTACTCCTTCTCATAACACAAGAACTAGGGGTCACCACATGAAATTAATAGGCAGCAGGTTTAAAACAAACTAAAGGAAATAATTCTTCACACAATGCACAGACAGTGTTGTGAAACTCTTTGCCAGAGAATATTGTGAAGACCAAGACGTTAACAGGGTTCAAAAAAGAATTAGGTAAGTTCATGGAGGATAGGTCCATCAATGGCTATGAGCCAGGATGGGCAGCGATGGTGTCCCTAACCTCTGTTTGCCAGAAGCTGGGAATGGGCGACAGGGGATGAATCACTCAATGACTACCTGTTCTGTTCATTCCCTCTGGGGTACGTGGGCAGTGGCCACTGTCAGAAGACAGGATACTGGGCTAGATGGACCATTGGTCTGACTCAGAATGGGTCTTATATATTGGCGGGGAAGGATAGCTCAATGGTTTGAGCATTGGCCTGCTAAACCCAGGGTTGTGAGTTCAATCCTTGAGGAGGCCATTTCGGGATCTGGGGCAAAAATTGGGGATTGGTCCTGCTTTGAGCAGGGGGTTGGACTAGATGACCTCCTGAGGTCCCTTCCAACCCTGATATTCCATTAAATGCTTTTTACTACTTTTATTAGCTCTGCATGTTAAAAGTGAGACACTTGGTATCAGGGCAAAAAGGATAAACCCCCTCATTTAGCACAGCCTTAGAACCATAGAATATCAGAGTTGGAAGGGACCTCAGGAGGTCATCTAGTCCAACCCCCTACTCAAAGCAGGGCCAATCCCGAATTAAATCATCCCAGCCAGGGCTTTGTCAAGCCTGACCTTAAAAACCTCTAAGGAAGTAGAGATTCCACCACCTCCCAAGGTAACAAATTCCAGTGCTTCACCACCCTCCTAGTGAAAATTTTTTTCCTAATATCCAACCTAAACCTCCCCCACTGCAATTTGAGACCATTACTCCTCATTCTGTCATCTGCTACCACTGAGAACAGCCTAGATCCATCCTCTTTGGAACCCCCTTTCAGGTAGTTGAAAGCAGCTATCAAATCCTCCCTCATTCTTCTTTTCCGCAGACTAAATAAGCCCAGTTCCCTCAGTCTCCCCTCATAAGTCATGTGCTCCAGCCCCCTAATCATTTTTGTTGCCCATTGCTGGACTCTTTCCAATTTCTCCACATCCTTGTAGTGTGGGGCCCAAAACTGGACACAGTACTCCAGATGAGGCCTCACCAATGCCGAATAGAGGGGAAAGATCACGTCCCTCAATCGGCTGGCAATGCCCCTACTTATACATCCCAAAATGCCATTGGACTTCTTGGCAACAAGGGCACACTGTTGACTCATATCCAGCTTCTCACCCACTGTAACCCCTAGGTCCTTTTCTGCAGAACTGCTGCCTAGCCACTCGGTTCTTAGTCTGTAGCAGTGCATGGGATTCTTGTCTTAAGTGCAGGACTCTGCACTTGTCCTTGTTGAACCTCATCAGATTTCTGTTGGCCCAATCCTCTAACTTGTCTAGGTCCCTCTGTATCCTATCCCTACCTCCCTGGCACCTCTTTCATTACAATTACTAGAAGACGTTACAGAGTAACAGCCGTGTTAGTGTGTATTTGCAAAAAGAAAAGGAGTACTTGTGGCACCTTAGGACAAACCAATTTATTTGAGCATAAGCTTTCGTGAGCTACAGCTCACTTCATCGGATGCATAAAGCGACTGAAAAAGTTCTTATATCAGGTTTGAAGCAGCAAAAGAATAAAACTGCTAGTTTGCAAAAGTCTCTCTAGAAATTACCTCAATAGCTTGGGGGTCATCAGTCCTTATTTAGTGCTTCCTGGTTAGAAATCCAGTTAGGAAGCACTAAATAAGGACTGATGACCCCCAAGCTATTGAGGTAATTTCCAGAGAGACTTTTGCAAACTAGCAGTTTTATTCTTTTGCTGCTTCAAACCTGATATAAGAACTTTTTCAGTCGCTTTATGCATCCGATGAAGTGAGCTGTAGCTCACGAAAGCTTATGCTCAAAGAAATTGGATAGTCTCTAAGGTGCCACAAGTACTCCTTTTCTTTTTAGAAGTAGTTATTAAACTGTAGTTGAGCCAAGGATGCAGAAGTATTTCTTTCTTCTTTCCCTCAACCAAAGTAGATCTAGACACCCATCTGATGCACTTATAAAGTGCTGGCATTTCCATTTTCAAAAGCCATGAAACAAAATACTGAGCACAGAGAATGTCACAGTCTTTAAAAAAAATTAGCTGAAGAAAGATTGCAGATCTGCTGATTCAGGCTGAGTTGTGATTTACATGTTCCCTTGTCAAGGTGGAATGAGGAGCCCAAGGAGGATCAATACCTGTATACTGAGCACTGTCAAGTTTGTCAGTGCATCCAAATTCTGGAGCTTGGTAATTTTGTTCTTTCCCAGGAACAGGCTGTCCAGGTTAGTCAGTGTGTCAGTATTCTCAATTGCCTGTAAAATGACCAAAGGAGGCAGTGTTACTGCTCTGGGCACTACTCCCAGCCTTAAGTGCCATCTCCAGACTCATTTAGAGAGAGAGTTCAGATGGTGGGAACACAGCAAGCAAACCTAGATCTCCTGATCAATTCAAGCATTCTGTCCTTCTGGATCTATGGAGTCCTAAAATGACTATTCAGATTAGAACCCTTATGCCATATCATCCAGATGATTTTCCACCTCGAGTTTTGAAAGAAAGCAATCAATGTTAGAAACAAGCAATGTTATAAATGTTCCTGCAGCAGTTCTCGAACTTCATTGCACCACAACCCGCCTTTGATAAAAAAAATTACATGATCCCAGGGGCTGGGGGGAGAAGAGAACCCAGCTGCCGGGGGGGGGGGGGGGAAGCGGCATCAAGAGCCCGAGCCCTGCTGCTCCTGGTGGGGTGGAGCTTGGGCTTCACAACCCACTTTGGGGCCCTGACCCACAATTTGAGAACCGTTGTGTTAATGAAGCTGGCATCCCCAACTAGGCGGAAAGGAAAAGGGAGACAGTCTATGGAAAGATCCAATTCTTCTGGTAGAGTTCACATTACTCTTTATAATCCCCAAAGAAATGTAATAGTCTGATGAGCAAGTCCTTAGAAGGCAGAAGCCATTATCCCACCTCACCCAGAACAAATAGCGAGCTGAATCCATTTAGAAAATTCACTCTTAACATAATAAATAACTTCAGAAGACAAACACATTACAGCCAACCCAACTGAATGAGAATGGAAGTTGTTGTCCTTGGCAGATACATTGGACTTGTTTTTAAAAAGGTTTCTGAGGATGGCAGCATTTTCAATATTACAAACACCACATTCCATTGAGATTAACTATTGCATTCATCCACAGCTGTGCAGTTGAGAATCATGACCCCGAATGATTCTGCAACACCTAGTTCACACGAGCTGGGGCCTGCCCTGGGGGCACAGGAGCAGCACAAATGCCAGCATGCTTTCATGGAATGAATCCAGGAGTGGGAGCTAGGAACTCCTGAGTCTTAATCCTGACTCTGCCATTGTTGTGATGTGTAGCCTGAGGCAAGTCATTCAGCTTCTGTGTCTCAGTTTCCCTATAATAAAATAAAGATAATAATGCTTTTTTGGTTTCATAGGGCTGTTTAGTTCATAATGAGACAGTGCTTTGAAGATGAAAATGCTACACATATGCCAAATATTACTATTAGTACAACATGTGCCATTCTAGTTTAAGTACTGAAGGGGGGGGAAAGGGAAATGAGGTGGTTTCCCTCTGGATGATCAAAAGAACTGTATTCTTTGTTTCTAAAAAGAGATGTGTCCAGCCCTCCTCATCAGAGAAAGTATCAGAGGGCAGGAAAGTGTGAAAGGGAGGATCCCAGAGACTCCTATAAAGAAAAGGAAACACAGGCAGGCTTTAAAAAAAAAAAAAGGGAACTTCAGCACATAAATAATTGAAGAAATTTTCTTTTCCTTCTTCTGGAGCCTTAAAGGCATATAACATTGATCAGACAAACCATATACAACAACTTATAATTGACTCTAAAGTAGCTTAGATTGCCAGGTCAGAAAAATATTCGAACAACGAGAGTGTCATAACTGAAAAGGCTTTTCTATGTTTGCCATGTAGTCATCAACAAATAAATACATCCTGGTAACAGCTCACATGGGGACTCTATCACACTTCATAGCCTGTGTCCCGCCAGGTCCCTGAGCAGTCTGTTCCCCGAGTTCAGCTCAGCAATGGGAGAAACCTGCAGCTGATACCACCTCTGCCCCTCACTGGCAACTCCTGCTGTAGTAATTGGGAAAAAATTGCTTAGCGCTCTGGGGATATGTAAGAAGAAGAAAACAGGCGGGGGAGAAGGAGGGGAATATCTCCTTAAAGCAATGAGAGTCAATGAGATGCTTATTTTAGTGAGAATATTATCGAACAAGTGCAGATGGGAGACATAAGAGGTACGTCATCAGTTAAATATCTGTTTGATAATTGGCTTAGCCCAGCCTCAGCATAAAAACATACCAGAGCAGGCACAAAATAAATTTACTTGCCCACGCTTACCATGACACCACCAATCAGATAATTAGCAGCATTTTACCTATCCATCACAAAGAAGAATTACTTGACGTCAAGTGAGAGAATTTTGCAAGGCAACTACAACCCTTTGCTACAAGTGCTCTTGTCATTCATTCTAATGCACCATCAGCAAGCCAGAAAAGTTCCAAGCATCAAAATATTGATATGACCTTGTTAAAGACTGAAATTTCAAAAGTTCTTTTTTAGGTCTTCATCCTACAGATTTATCTCCAGGAATTTGTCCACAAGTTACAGTGCAGAAGAGAGCTACAGCAATCAAAGGTTTTTATTGCCCACAAACCCAACAGGGACAGGAGCTACTTCTTTGTTGTCTGCCTGGAAGTTGACTCCTCTCAACATTGAGCTGCAGCATTCAGCCACTTAGGATGGAGGCACTTTGAGAAGTCAGAATACAATCAATCTACAAACACAGGTACCGTGTTTCTAATTTTTTCCCCCCATTAAAATAAGCTTTAGCGATTACATAATCTGATGTAACTTATCTCCACATACCTTTCAGTCCTTTACCATGAAGGTCAATTCACCAAAATTTGTACTTATTTTTAAGTTGCTGGAAGAGATTGTCTGGCTAGACCCTATCTCACTATAAGTATAAGAACACAACTGGATCTTCCGTCTTTCTCTACCTGGATCTTCTGTCTTTCTCAAATTGCCTCACATACCCATAGATGTGGGATAGAAGCTAGACCACTGAATTCAGTTTGCTGGATTCCTGCCTGCCTCTCCAGGCCACCTATGGAGGTCCCATTGCCCTGTTTGTGCAAAGTCCAAGATTCCCAATCATTTAACTGGCTGCAGCCCCAAAACTGCAGTGTTATTCCCCACAGCCGTTTCATTTCACAAAGAATATTTCCCTCTATTGAGGAGAAATGGACTGGAGTCTCTCTTTTAGCTGTGAAGGCAAATCTATTGACTATAATGCAAGCAAAGCGCTCCTCCCCTTCAGCCTAAGAAAAAGGCTGACCACAGAAGAGGGGAAGGAATTGCACCCTGGTTCCATGAAGAGAAACATGCTCCCAGGTGGTTATGAAAAAAAGAAAACCAAGAACTCTCCCCACCTCAGATGCTTTCCTTCTTTTCTTATTATTTCCTTCAGCAAAACAGCTGGTTTACCAAAGAAGTTGGGTTAAAGGGGTACTGTCAACTTAGAAATCATCTTTCAGACTGACATTTTTCTACCTACTATTGTTACAAGCATTCCATAAGATTTCTATACTGAAAGAGATTAGGGAAGTATTTCTGTCTATTTCACATTTTTTATCTTGAGCATTTGACAACACTTTATGTGCAGTCAGCTTCAGTATTTCCCATGTTCCCTTGTTTGTGTGGATCTCACACCCAGCAACAGCAAGAGAACACACAATTTGCAGAGGTATGTAGTATCTGAAACCATTCATTCATCTTCTTGAAGTTGACCATGTCTCTAAAGTCAGGAGAACCACATCGGCAAAGACAAATGATAGAAAGGAAAAGTCAGTCGTAGGATAGGAGATGTACAGGCATTTCAGGCTACAAGTGAAGTAAAATAACTAATTCTTACTATAGGTTAGAAACCCCTGCATGAAGCAGCATAAACCAGAAGTGAAAAAACATATCTAATCTTAACAGATTTCAATACTCAAACACTTATACCTGCCTTGCTCCAAAAAGATGAAAGGAAACTGAAGACCTATTGGACATCTGAGTCCCTCTCCACAACCAACACAACACTTGGATGGGAGGCTGGCTTCTCCTGCTGTATTCCTGTGAGACAGTTTTGATTCTTGTATCAAAAGTGTTACTGCCTAAATTACTGGCAAGTTCATGACACTATTCCAGTATGATTACATTGTTAAAAGAACCTGAGTATTTTCGAGACAGAAATCAGCTTCTCTCTTTATGATGCCCATGATCTTCTTTTCCTAGGGTGCACTGTCCCTTTATGGAACAAAGTGAGTCACATTTCCAGATGTGCACAGTGCATCTAAATCCTAAGTTAAAAAGTCATTGAGGCAGCAAGTCAACAGAATGTAGGCTCCTAAGTGACACCTGAAAATAGAACTCTGGGTAAAATTTTCAAAAGCACACAAGAAATAAAATGGACCATTTCGGTTATGCCTAATCAGTTATATATAAGAGCTAAAGAATTACAGAGTAAAAAATCCCAATCAAAGGAAAGCAGCATGGCTGGATTGCCTCAGATAGCTCAACTAGAACAGAGCTTTCCAGTCTCCAAGATGTATGCAGAACAAGACAGAAGAGAGGAGCAGCTGCTCCCTTTCTAGACTGGTTTCTGACCTCATCTCTAGAGACGGGACTGGTCAACAACAAATGAGTGAGTGTGCAAGGAAGAGGACGTGCAAAAGACTAAGCCATTCCCTACCACTCCAGATATTGCATAGCAGATATTACAGGTACTCTCTTTTTCTCCAAAAATACGCGCATTACTTCTATCTGCCCTTTCCTCATTTCTATGCAATACACTGGGTTGTCTCAGTTGTATCTAGCCAGCTATTACTGGATCCCCATCTACTTTCACCACATAGAGTAGATGTTAATTTTGCTTCTACTATACATTTTGCAGTCGTGCCTACCCGGATTCGATTGGATCCCAGCTCTAACATCTGTAATTGCTGTAAGTTGCTCAGGTTCTCAATTTTGCCGATTTTATTGTTGACCAGGTAGAGTTTTTTAAGCTGGGTGAGCCGGTCTAGTCCTTCAATGTGTCGCAGCAAGTTAAAAGAGATATCCAGGATCCTGCCATAAGCAAAGCAAATAAAGACCTCATCAATCCAAGGCAAAAGCAAAGGGAGTCCATGGAAAGGACACTTGCATACGGGGTGGGGGGGGGGGGGATCTAAAATAAATTTCCCATCACCTATGGAGCTCAAGCACTTTGTTAGCATACTAAGCTATAGGGAGTCAGAAATAGCATTTGTTTACCATACAGGAGATTAAATACATGCTTAAAACAGGGTCTGAAGAAAAAAAAACAAAGAATTGGCACTAGTTTTACTTCATCACCTGAACCCAACCCAACAGTGGCACTTCAGCCTCCAATTTTAAAAATACGACTACAACATGCTTTTCCCAACCCAGCATGTCCCTATGGAAATTCCCTCTGAAAAGCACCAGATCAAAACCTCCCTTAAGCACTAGACAATCACTACTAGTGGAGGCATTTGTGTACTCAGTCTAAATTAAGGTGAATTTCAGTATCCCCAACAATTTATCACCTCTCACAAGGCCTCATGTCCTCTAGCCAGGAGGACAGTACAGAATTCAGCTGCTTGAAGGAAGGATGAGCTTGTGGTTAGGATACTTGACTGGGATTCAGTTCCCTGCTATAGACTTCCACTGTGACTTTGAGCAAGTCACTGTATAATGGGGATAACAATACTTTCTTTCCGCGACCTTGTCTGCCTTGCTTAGTTAGACTGGAAGCTCTTCAGGGCAGGAACTGTGTTTGTACAGGGCTCTGCACAACGGACTTCTGATCTCACTCAGGGCCAATAGCTGCTTCTATAATGCAAATTCTAGTTACAGTGGTCACCACAGAACAACGGGAGGCTACACTCCTCTTCTCTGGGGTAGAAGTCCTCTGCTGCCATGCAGCACTCCAGCCACACATCTACAGTACATTTAATTTTTGGTTTTAACAAAAAACTGTCCCTGATCGCCTCCAGAGTAATGAAACCAGCTTACAGCAAGACCTAAATCCTAGTGAACACAAGACGTTGTCCTGCATGTAGCACCCATGTGAATCTCCACAAGCAGAGAGTGCAGCTTGTGTAATTAAGGTTTTGGTTTTTTTAAAAAAATGCCTAATGATACATTTTGCTTGACAACCACTTCATAGAAAGCCTGCAGACTGGCAGCCTCATTTATCACATCACCACCCAGTCCTGGTCATTCCCTCCTCACTGGATACTCACTCAAGGTCTGTCAGGTCCTCTAAGTTCTCAATCTTCCGGATCTGATTGTCATAGAGATCCAGTTCTCTGAGAGTCTGCAACTGTTCCAGGTTCTCGATGCACTTAACCAAATTCTGACGCAGACACAGAGTCTGAGTTTTGGGGAGAAGTTAAAAAAAGCCACAACAAAGTGAGAAAAACCCCACGAGAAAAAAATTGCACCTGAAAAAGACAATATGCACCCTTCTTTGGGGTTACCATCAGACTCCATTTTATAGTTCACCCCCATTACCATGAGGAGGAGGAAATGTTGATCCAGTTTCTTTAAGGACAAGAGAAGCACAGCCATGCCAGGTATAGGGTGAGGAAGGAGCACATGGAATTGATTCTATGGCTAGCCTATTAACTAAAGGCCCAGTTCTGCTCCCCCTGAAGTCAACAGGAATTTAGTCATGGACTTCAAGGATTGCAGGCTTCAACTCAAAGGGAGTCATGTTCTAGAAGAAGGGAGGAACCTGGGTCCCATTATCTTGTTGAAAGGATTCTGTTATGCCACAGACTTGCACAGCAAGGTCAGGACATTCTGGCTGAAAGGATGGACCATCACACAGGAAGAATCCTTGCAATGCTGAAAAAAGCTATACAGTCAATACATTTTTCTACAGAATTTTGCTTCTCTAGTTTTGTTAATAGCAGACTTTCTGGAGCTAGTTACTCTTCAAATTGGGGTTCAGCATCACAGTTTGCTGGTCCAAAGACCAAAGAACTTACTTGCAACTTACTAGTCTGTCAACAAAGACGTATTTTATGTTTCAGCCTATCATAGAGCATACTATAGTCTCAAAATGCACAACAGTGATTTTGAGAAAGCCCTCAAAAGTTATTGTTATGGCAGATGTCACCAGGTCACACTGTTAAAGTCTTCCAAGTTTGATAGCGTGCAAGCAAGTTTTTAGTCTTGGAAGAAATGCTTGTAGTGGTGTTAGGTTTTGGTTGTGCAAGGTTCTGTGTTGAGGCAGCTTTGAGAGGAGAGGGAGTTGTAGAAGTAGTAGGAGAGATTGCTCTCTGCCTCAGTTTCAAATCTTGAAGCAGAGTTTGTGCTGAGCTGAGATTCCTGAAAGAAGGGAGTTGCCTGAACCTCTGTTCCAGGACTGACATGTAGGTGTAAATAAAGCAAGTTACACTTGGAATAAACCTAGATTCCACGTCACTGATTTCTCCTCCTCTGGGAAGCAAACTTACAAGGCCCTGACATCTGCTACTGCTTGGCAGAGGAGCAGTTACATTCTTTACAGACACATCTTAAAAGGTTATTGCTCATTAGAATCTCTGCTGGTTCCCAGCCAGAGAAAGACTCATCATACTGGTTGGCTTACAGATAAATGACATAAGAGTTGCAGCTCCTAGAGTTGCTTGTACCTTGATGCTCACCATTCCTTCTGAGTCTCACCTTCACTTTCTTGAGCACTTCAAATCCCTCAATCTTTCCAATTCGGAAGTGATTCAGGTCAACATCCTAAAGAGAATCATAGAATATCAGGGTTGGAAGGGACCTCAGGAGGTCATCTAGTCCAACCCCCAGCTCAAAGCAGGACCAATCCCCAATTTTTGCCCCAGATCCCTAAATGGTTCCCTCAAGGATTGAACTCACAACCCTGGGTTTAGTAGGCCAATGCTCAAACCACTGAGCTATCCCTCCCCAGAGAAGACTTGGACTCATCCACCGGCTGTTTAGGGTTGAAGGTTTGTTTCATGATAGTGTCTTCCAAGTCCAGAGTGAAAATGCTGCTTGTGCATTGCCTTGAAAGGGAGACTGTAGGTTCATAGAGTATATAGACCTCAATAAGACCCCTTCTTAAAAATCTTGCAAAACTCTGGTCTTGCGGGCAACTGTGTGCCATTAAATATGAGGGGAAGCTTGGGTTTGTTGCCCAAGATGACACGTGTCATAAATATAGAGGGAAGGGTAACAACCTTTATGTATGCAGTAACATCAAATCCCTCCTGGCCAGAGGTACAGAATCACTTACCTGTAAGGGGTTAATCAGTTCAATTAACCTAGTTGGCACCTGACCAGAAGGACCAATGGGGAAAGAAGATACTTTCAAATCGGGGGGTGGGGTGGGGGGGTGTTTGGTGCTCTTTTTTTTTTTGTTCTCTCTCGGGACAAAGAGAGACCAAGCAGGTAACCCAGCTCCTACTGAAATGATACATCTAAAATTATAGAAATTGTAAGTAATAGCAAGGAAATGCATTAGATTATCTCTTGTTTTAGCATGTGAATTTTCCCTATGCTAAGAGGGAGGTTTATTCCTATTTTTGTAACTTTGAAGTTGAGCCTAGAGGGGAATCCTCTGTGTTTTAAATCTTATTACCCTGTAAAATTACTTTCCATCCTGATTTTACAGAGGTGCTTCTTTTACCTTTTTCTTTATAATAAAGTTCCTCTTTTAAGAACCTGATTGATTTTAGTGTCCTAAACATAAAGGGTCTGGTCTGTACTTTTATTAAAGGCAACTGGTTGATATATTATTCTAAGCCTCCCCAGGAAAGGGGGTGAAGGGGTTTGGGGGAATATTTTGGGGAAATAGGAACTCCAAGGGTCCTTTTCCTGAATCTTTGTCTAAATCACTTGGTGGTGGCAGCAATACTGTCCAAGGACAAGGAAAGGAATTTGTGCCTTGGGGAAGTTTTTAACCCAAAACTGGTAGAAATAAGCTTAGGGGGTCTTTCATGCGGGTCCCCACATCTGTACCCCAGAGTTCAGAGTGGGGAGGGAACCCTGACAGCATGTCTGCCTACAGCTGAAAAAGTCTGAACTAGAGAATATTAATAGTGGTTATATCAACCTGTGTTCATTTAACAGAAGGGAAGTTTTTTGGGTGAGTTTTGTTCTTATGCAGATAAAGTGCTAATTCTATTGGCTAGAGCCAGGTACTGCACAGGCTTCCCATACATACCTTTCTAGTGTTACCTCAATCCCAACTAGAGCATCCTTTTCTATTCCAGTCCTGGGCCTCTGCTGGCAGAAATTGCCAATTGTGTCTAATTATTTGGTGGTTTTGGGACTACAGGTGTAAATAGGTGAACAGCTAATACACTTACCATGTGTGCTGCCTAGCCCCTGCTGTTCAGTTTTTGCCAGAGAAACATACAAACAAAATGTAAATACAACACCTGCCAAAGTTCAGCACATTGCTCTGTAAACAGTCTCTCACAATTCATTTATCTGACAGGCTGGGTGGATAACTTCCTATGTGTGCTGACAGAATAAAGTTTTGCAACAGCAAGGAGATTTTAAAGACAGTCTAACAAATGCTTACAACATGTTGCTTGATGTTTATACCATCTCTGCTTTAAAATGACTTTGTCCTAATATCCCAAGTTGTTACAAAAAGATTCCAGCTATTGATTTAAAAAGTACTTCTTTGCTTCTGACTGTAAAACTCAGATTCAATTTTGGGGAGATCTGGACAGCCAACACTTCCAGAAGAATTATTCCTCTTGTCCAAGGTTCAGATACTTTCTCATAGAACTAGTCATCCTTTGCCTACCTTTCCTTCTTTAAATAAGTCCGATATGAGTGCAACCAGCATTACCTCAGCTTCCGGGTCCAGATTAATTGTCTCCATATCCACTGGTGTCTCTGCCTCTCCTGCAGCAGAATGAGAACATACAGTATAAACTCAAGTTATACATCAACTGATGGAAAGGCTGCAGTGCTTCTCCACTGGGTGGGGAGGTGCAGGAGTAAATGCTCCTTAGGCAATGTAGGAAGGTGAGAAAGATACTGCTTTGAGTCTCTGCTGCACTGGACAGAAGCTGCAGGTACATGAACGGGGGAGGGATAGCTCACTGGTTTGAGCAGTGGCCTGCTAAACCCAGGGTTGTGAGTTCAATCCTTGAGGGGGCCATTTAGGGATCTGGGGCAAAAACCGGGGATTGGTCCTGCTTTGACTACTAGATGACCTTGTGAGGTCCCTTCCAACCCTGATATTCTATGAACACTGTCCATCTAGTTGAGAATGCAAAAGTCACTAACAATAGAATTTCATACTTTGATGCACAGTGTAGAAAATAATTATAATTCTCCAGCCTAGCTCTAGTGAAGCTGGTAAATGCTGCTGACTCAACAGCCAGGTATGATGGGGGTCTTTGCTGAAGTAGTGACTAATACTGAGATACCAGGTTTTAGCAGGACTGTTGATTTTTCAGCTACCATGACATTTAGCTGATTTACTCCTGCACATTCTCCATCTTCCCTTGTAAACAGTCACAGTTGCTGAAATAACTGCTCTCCTCAGATAACTCAGTACAATGCTCCCAGGGGGAAAACTAGCACACACAGGTTGTCTGGTGGAAACACATTGACCTGCATGTTCAACCACCTGAAGAATTCCACCCTTATTGGAATACTGAAAGCATAAGTTACTAGTTTGCATGCCTTCTTGAATGGTTTTTCCTTTTTGTTTAAATGAGCTCACCAATATTTTAGAATGCAGCATTTGTTATGCTGGGTATGTTGTTCTGGGAAATGCTCTTACATCTCTGGAACACAGCCCAGTATTTTCATGCACTTCTAGCACAGCATTAGAGGGAGAGGTATTTAGTGGAGAGATTCATGTTGAGTAATTCATGTGTGTTTCCCATTTGGTGAAGAGGGTGGGTTGGGTGTATCAATTTCAGTATAGGATTTCAAAAGACAGATATACAACATACGAACAGATCACATTTCAAACCTATGGTCCCCTTATGCTGAAGGAAACCTACAGGAATTGTTAACTACCACTGAGCACACGGACTTTGGATTAATCCTTGCAACGCTTTATGCAATCTCACTCCATTAGCCCCTTCAGTAATACCTGATCTTATTTGTATTTTGGTTCAGTCAAACATCCATTCAAATGACTAATATCCAACTACACTGGACAAGTGCATTTCCTAGACATACCTGACACACCCTCCAGCACTGAAGGGATTCATGGTACAGAATTCAAACTCAATAGAGTCTAGCAGACAGTTTTGCTAATATTCTCAAATTCTGTATTCTACTATTGCCCCTATTTCATCAATTCAGAATGGGAGGATTGACTGACTCAGGGGAATTGGTGAGTGATATGAAGCGTTTGACCTCTATCTTTCTAATTTGAATACAACATAAATCAGCAGTGACTCCAGCTTGTAGACTTCTGATGTAAAACAAGCTTGTGGTTTGGGAGCTGAGTGGCATCACAAAAAACTCGGCCACAACTGACACCAATCAATATGCTGGTTGGCAGCCTCAGCAGATGCCAAAGGATGAATTATCCTGTGATCCTTCCAGGCAATCCTTTCTTGTTTGGGTTGAAACACCTTGTTAGAGCCTTGTGGAGAAGCGTGCTCTGCCACTGCCAAAGCTGTACGCGTTCTATGGATGACTAGGGTAAAAAAGGGTGCCAAACTGCCAATAGCCCCAGCCCAAACAAATTATGCTGCAACAAACAGCCCAATTTAATTTGCAGCCAGCCAACTACAGAATTGCAGGGCAAGACAGGAACAACAATTATTTGAGATCTCACTTGAAACTAACACATTCTCCTTGTATTAAGAAGTATAAAGAGCCTGTTGCAGGGCACAAGGTACAGGAGGCCACTTCACTGTATCTCCAGAATTCTCCAATGACAACATTACCAAAGCGATACAGCTGGTAGATCATTGTGATTAACAAACACTAGCATTATTCACAACCTTACTGTGCTCTGTTCCTTCCCATATGACATGACAAGCTCCCTCAGGATCACCTTGGTACTGACGGTGCTTTCTTTGGTGGCAATGAATTAATACAATACTATAACTGGTGAGCCATGATTGGAAGGCTCAATTTAAGTGCACTAAACAGACATTAATAAAACCCCTCAAAAATCCCTGTACTGTCACCATTTGACATTTGGGTAAAATAAGCCACAGCCAGGTTAGATGGTTTACTCAAGGTCACACGCAAATTCTGTGGCAGAACCAGGAACCGAAACCACATCTGACCCCCAGTCGTGTGCTTAATGGAGCTTCTTAATGACAAAGGCTGCCCTTCCCAGAGCACTCTACGTACTTGTACATGCTATGCTAACACCATGAGTATAAATAAAGATTTCATTGGGAAGAACATGGCTGCCCACCTGATTTCGCTACTCTTACATAATTCATGTTATCCCAAACAAGTGCCAATAAAACTTGTCACCACACTAGCATTTATCTTATGGCAGGGGTTCTCAACTTTTTTCTTGCTAAGACCCCCCTCAACATGCTAATAAAACATCAGGGCCCGCCGGGGGCTCAAGCACAGCCGGGTCCAGGGAGGGAGCACTGCCTCCACCCCCTGACTCACTCAAGAGGCCACTCAGCCTGTCTGGGCTGTGGGGGGATGCAACAAAAAAAAAGGGGGAACTCAGTTCAAAAAGTTTGAAAATTGCTCAGGATGCTGGCAGGGGGTAGCTAGGGCTGTGTACAGGTGGGGTGGTCTTCCGGTGCTGTTCCTGGCTTGGGATGCTTGAAGGGAGGGTGCTGGCATCAGCCCTGTGCCCAGCGGGGAGTGGGGGAGGAAGCGCTGGCTTCAGCTCTGCGCCACTCCTGGCCTGGGGGTGGATGGGGGGGGGAGCCGCCAGCTTCAGCCCCGCAGCACTCCCGGCTTGAGGGGGATGGGCCAGGGGCGCCACCTTCGGCCCTGTGACGCTCCTGGCTTGGGGGGTGGGAGAAAGAGGGGGCGCCGGCTTCAGCCTCGCAACGCTCCTGGCTTGGGAAGGGTAGCCCCCCCCCCCACACACACACACACACTTGATTCAGCCCTTCAACCTTGGGGGCGGGGTGGGAGGGGGCGCCGGCCTCAGCCCTGCGACTCTCCCAGATTTTTTTGGGGGGGGGGCCGCACGGTGGAGAGGGGGCACCAGCTTCAGCCCTGCACCGCTCCCAGCTTTGGGGGGGGAGGGGAGCTGTCACGCCGGCTTCAGCCCCACGACGGTTCCAGCTTGGGGCGGGGGGGGGGGGGGGAGAGGGTGCCAGCTTCAGCCCCACGACGCTCCCGGCTTGGGGGCGGAGGGAGAGGGGGCGCCAGCTTCAGCCCTGTGACGCTTCGGGCTTCAGCACTGGGGCTCGGGGCACCAGGTTTCAGCCATGGGGCTCCGCGGCCCCCCTGAAAGAGATCACAGACCACTAGAGGGTTGTGGACCCCTGGTTGAGAACTGCTGGATATGGCACGTTAGAGACAATCTTTAGAATTCTTAAATGTTACTTAGGTTTGCGATTAACATGTCATGTTAAACATATTCCTGTATGTTCTGTATCTATCTGCTTCCAAAACTCGGTTGCCTTAGTTACTTTAAGTCCTGCTATTTAAAGCAATCCAGCTTTAGAGCCAGAGCAAGAGTTATCAATACATAAATAAGCCAGATAAAATGTTTCAAGAGTAGTTTTTTAAAGGAGACAGCAAGAAACCCTCTCATTCCCTCCTCCTTCTATTCTCCTCGCCTACAAGCATTCATCCCCATTGTAGTTACAGCAAAGAAGCTGTACACGACCTACTTTCCCATGGGTTGAGAGAGACAGAGTGGGCTGGAAGAACCACTGTGCAACTGGAGAAGTTGGAGGACTTTTTAGCTGCCACAAATAGAAAAGGGAAATTATAAATAAAGACAGATTGTGGATTTATTTATTTATTTAATGGCAATCTTCTAACAGGGTTGGTATTTTTTAAATAGTCCAGGCAGACAGCACATGAGAAGTCCTAAGGTGCCAAATAAATATAGATCGTGTATTTCATAGTTGTCATAATCACATGTGAATATATATCAAGTGTAACAACCTACAGACATGCAATTTAAAATCGAACACACAAAAGTCAGGAAATATAAAATAGTTAAGGTTTACATAGCTACGCTGACTCCGCCCCCACCACCACATTCCATATCCTACACATTAAGATGGGTTACACATTTACTAGTCTAACCACACACATCTATATACGTGCAACACAGGTGATATAACATTGCTATAGGAACCTTAAATTGTATTTTGACTCTGGAAAGTAATAAAAACAGTACTAACAGATCTACTTCCTATGGGTAGTCTGTCTGTAATCTTATTTCTCTAACAAAAATAAGTTTTTACTGCTCTTTACTCCTGTTAGCACTTTATATCCAATACTGGCTCCTGCATCATCACCAGAACTATTATGTTCTGACTGCAGAATCTTTAGATATCTGTGGTGGTACTGGAGCTAGAAAGAACCCTGCTTGATTTTCAGAATCAATGCACTAGATAGAAAAATAACAGGTTTTTACTTGTAAACTGAGCAAAAGTGATATAGCATCACTAATAGGCATCAAACACATACCCCTATACTGGTATTTTTACAGTCATTGCTAAGAATAGAACTGCACTTTAACTTATGTGTATTAAAATATGCTAATATTGGTTTAGCACAATTTTTTTTAATATTTAACTGTTTTCTGAGAAAAAAATAAAAAAATTCTCCAACTCTGCAGAGTTGTGCAACTTCACTGATTGCAAGCTACAAAACTCTACAGAGTCCATATGTAGGTTTTTTCTGTAAGATTGGGTTCCACATTAATAAACTACTGGTTTATGTAAGTCCACAGTACCACAGGCACTTGTAATTACAAACATAACTGCACTTTTCTTTAACTGTAAATGCATGAAAAAAATACTAGATTACTTACAACTAAGTTACTTAAAACACATATGCTATTCCTTAGAGAACTGATTGCATGTGAAATCTGAAATGTCAGCCATTTGATCTATCCATATTTAAATTTACCTTTCAGCTGTGTAACTCAGAAACTGGTTGGCTGGATTTAACTACAAATATTTCAACCACGGCAGAGAACAGGTATTTTTATTTTTTACTGATAGCTTTGGATGGAAAGATGAAACCTAGATGGAAACATTAAATAAGCTCCAAATTTATACTGTCCATCCAATCTAAACCTTGTCTCCTTGTTTTGCTCTGTAATGGAAATATGCTGCTTTATATATACTGTTTATTAATTGTGTAATGAAGATGTCCAAAGAAACACAAACATAAAATCTACTCCCAGGGTACATTTAAGCTATGTCAGTTCTATGTACACTCATAACGTACTGTGTTGGTAGAGAAGAATTTTATGAAGGATTGATCTGTTTGGCATTATCAAATATGTTGATTATAAAAGTAGGGCTTCTGATTTATGGTTTTAACCAATAAATACTGATAAACGACTCCCGATACTACAAAAAAAATCAGAGTTTATCCAATTAAAATCAGAAACACACTGGAAATGGTTACTTATATCTATGGGTTTGTCTACATGTGGACTATTGGGGGTGTGATTTTTAACAAGCACTAAAGCGTTGCAAGTAGTATAGCAGGGATAGTCAATTATTTTTTATCAAGGTCCAAATTTCTTGGTCAAGGTATAGTCAAAGTCCAGACTGCCACACAGCTACTCTCTCCAAACTCTGATTGCTTGCCAGCTCTCCGCCTGCCCTGCCAGGAAAGTAAGGTGACTTTATTTTCCTAAACTGAAAACAGGAAGCAAGGGGCAGGCCTGAGCCACCTGGCTTTGCCGCTCCTCCACACATACACACAAAAATGTTCCTCTGTGCCCCGAATTGAGCCAAGTAGCAGAGATGGGGCAGACAGTAAGAGGAATAGGTATGTACTGGGATCTGGGCAGTAAAGCAGTGTGTGACTGTGCGAGAGTACTTTTGAGTTTGGAGCCAGGAGGTGAAGCTGTTGGACTGTGATCTAGCTAGTGGTGCAATACCTTTTTGGGGGCTAGGATAGCAGAGGGGCAGGAAGGAGGCAGGAAGTGGGAGGGCCAAAGTAGACTCCAGATAGCAGCTCTGGTGAGATGTGGGGAAGCTGGGATGTGACGGAAGCAGGTGACTGGAAATGGACTGGGAGGAAAAGAGTGGGGTAGGGGACTCGGGGGGGGGGGGGGCGGCTGGAGAGGACTTCAGGGACTGACCCCAGAAGGATGGGGGCGGGAAACAGGAGAGGGAGGTCATAAGGCCAGAGTGGAGGCTCCGGGGACCACTCAGGGTCGGGGAGGGCAAAAGGCCAGGGTGGGGACTCCAGGAACCACTTGAGGGCGGGAGACACAAGAGTGGGGGGCCTCTGGGAACTATCTGGAGCACAAGCATAGCTCCGCTTGCCTCCAGCTCAGCTTCAGTTTGCACACAGAGGCAACATGTAGCTGTGACTAGTGGAGGGGGGCACAAATGAAAGTTCTGGGGGGGTCACGTACCCCCTCTCCACCCCCCAGATTTCTCAAGACACCCAAAAGTGAGGAGGCAGTACTTCCCCTGGCAGCAGGACTCTCCGTGTGTGTCCGTGCAGTGCAGGGACGGAGAGAGCATGGTTGCTGGCTGAGCTCCTCCCCACTAGGTCCACCCATGGGCTGTTTAGCATTCCCTGCCTTTCACCTGCAGATGGTCTGCAAAGCAGGCAGCAGTGCTGAGACTCCAGCGAAAGCAAGGGAGGGGGGAAGAGAAGAGGAGGAGAGGGGAGGAGCTCAACCAGCTCCCCTGCTCCCTCCCTGCACTGCACCAACACAGGGAGAGTGCTGCCTCCTCGCTTCTGGACATACCCTCCAGGGGCATCCAGAACAATCTGGGGGAGCTGTAGCTGTAGCTCACGAAAGCTTATGCTCAAATATATTTGTTAGTCTCTAAGGTGCCACAAGTCCTCCTTTTCTTTTTGTAAAGCATCTGGCAGTCCAGATTTGGACTGCGGTCCGCCTATTGACTACCCCTGCACTACAGTATGTCCTACTGTAATTAATAATGTATAATATATGTAACTCATTACAGATATACAAAGAAAAAGCTCCCAAACCCTCCAATTTTTGGACATACATAAATTCAAAAATTGTTAAGAATAACCTGCAATAAATTAAATTAATAAACTCCTAAAAACAAAAGCCCTAATTATATGGTGCTGAAGGTTTATGTAAATTGTACAGCAGTTCCCATATGTACTTTTTACAGTGACTAATGCAGAGTTATAGTATATTGGAATGGATCCTTTAAATGGGACATGGGATTTTAAACTTCCCTAATAATTTGCTATTTTGACCTAACTATACCTTTGCAAATTTTAAAGGGCAATACTAAGATTGGGTGGTTTCTATAACTAGTGATGTGTTAGTCAGAGAGGAAGGATTATATGGCAATGGAGAACTGGCTGGAACCCCTAATTTTAAAAAAAGCGTGTGTAGAATTTCTACCCAAAAAAGTGTAACTGTGTTTCTGAGTATTATCTGGACCTCACTAAAACACTTCAGCCTGTAACTCTTTCTTGACTAAGTTTTTATTGGAGAATTTCCCTCCTTTTTAAAAAAAGGAAGTCCCAAAAGTTTAAATGATATTGGCATATGAGATCTGTCCGAGCAGATCCCTTTGTGCAGATCTTAAATAGATTGCTAAACAAGACCTACTCGCCTGCACAGCCATCAGGACAACTAAAGCCACTAAGCACTATTACAAACAATAAAATAATAATGGTGCTAGTTTTGAGCTCAGAGGATTCCAGAGAGGAGCAAAATAGGACTTTAAAGCAATGCCTGCAACCTCTTCACAGTAAAAGTAATAATGAAGTACATCAGAAAAATCCTATTCTCTTTGATACCGTAAACTCTTTGAATATTTTAAAGTCAAACATGTTTGCAGATAAATAAAAACAAAGATACTACAAAAGACCAACATTAAAGTGAATCTAAAAAAAATAGATCCATAGAACAGATGTAATTAATTAACTAAAATATAATACATGATCAGAGTAACTGCAAAATTGGGAATGGTACAAACATTTTATTACACATGGCATTAAGAAGTCCATCTTTAAAATATGATTAGGGTCGCTTAGGTACCTGTTAAATTCTCCCCATTCTGCTCATCTCTCAGGCTCTGCTGACTGAGGTCTGTTACTATGCAACCTGCTTGCTTCTTCCCTTCTTCATCTCCTGACTCTTCTGACTCTACCCGCCTGTCAACTGTGCAAGATACATAACAGCAGGGTTAGGCTACTTTCAGAAAACACTAGCCGCAAGTACATACAGTAACCAAGAGTCACATAAACCTTTATGAGGTTAGTAGAGATCCTAAAATTTACTAAATTAAAGGTTTAGTCTTAAATAAAAGTCCTCTTACCCCTTGTTTTTACTTTGATTTTTGAAGCACTTTTTCCTCCCTTCACCTCTTCCTAAACCAACAATCTGGGAAGAAGACTGGAGGAAAAAGGAAATTTCTTAGACCGATGGAATGCAAATCCAAAGATTAAGGTGATGGAATTAGAACTGTGACATTTAAAGATAATTTACAATGGTGACACTTTACAGACCAATATCACTAATGCCAGGTACTATAGTGGTAAAGGTTTCCAACCCTGTTGCAACCCACAAGGCCACCTCACCTCCCCAGCAACAACTCATGAGATCACTTCATAATTTCATTACATGCCTTCTTCAATTCAGTGTAAGGCAAAGGCCTCTTGTGCACTGAGGTTCATCTTGCTCAAAGGTTTGGACAGAACTTTATGTGACTGTGAATGACCTTAAATATGACATCATCCCATTTTGGGGGGAGAGAGTAGGGGAAAGATGATTCAATCATAGTTACAAATAAGCTGTATTTCTATAGCACCTTTCATTTGATGATCAAAAGACACTGCATAGTGATTAATTAGCCTCCCAACACTCCCCATTTTATTAATAGCTTAGGTGATTCACAAAAAGGACAAGCAACTTCACCAAGAACACCTAGACCCAGAAGTGCAGTAGGACCCAGTCCCCTTACAAATCCCATATTTTAACCACTACACTATGCTCATCTCCAGTCCGCAAGTGCAGAATCCCAAAATCCTTAACAAATTTAGCCCTAACTCCTCCCAGTAGGAAACTAACACAAAGAACAGCTTCAAACCCCATCCCTCAAGCCTGCTTCGGAATCGCTCTCCCGTTCGGCACCCCAGCCGTTCCCTTCTTGCCAGTCCACAGCTCTGCCTAGCCCCACCTGCCCCCCGCTGCCAGCACCCGGGCAACAAGCCCTCTGCTCTCCGGGCACCATCACCCCAGGCAGACCCTGCCCCTCCAGCCAGCAGTCCCCTCCTTTCCCACAGGCCCAACCCTGCTACCTCTCCCCTTGCCTAGCCGGGGTCGCTCCGCTCCGGGCCCAGGACTTCGGCCCAGCCCGACCGCACCCGGCAGGGAAGCTGGCCTGATGCCCCAAGCATCGCCCCAGACCCCGGCTCCCCCCGCCATTCCCAGCCCGGGCTGTCACCTCAGACACGGTCGCGCCGCTACCCAGGGCCGGCCCGAGTCCCCGGCCCTCAGCTGCCTCCTTCCCCTCAGGCCCCGCTCGCCCCACGGGCCTCCCCCCATCGGCCCCCAGCCCTCGCCCCCTTTAGCCGGCTGCCCCAGGGGCCCAGCCCCGTCTACCCCCGACCGCAGGGCTGGCGTCCCCGGCTGCTGCGAACAAGCGAACGGCCGGGACCGGAGGCTCGGGCTCGGCTCGGCTCGGCTCGACTCGACTCGACTCTACTCGGCTCGGCTCCCCCAGACACGGCCGGGCTCTCACCCTCCATCATCTCCTGCAGCGGCCCTTCTCCTCTTGCCGCCGCCATGTCGCTTTTCCTGACCCCCACCCACTCCCCGTCGCAGCAACGGGCACAACCAATGAGCGGGGCAAGGATTTCCGCCAATCAGCTCAACTGCTGTTTTCGCAGAGGCCTCCTAGGACCCCAGGCGCATGTGTATAGTTTCCGCAGCCTCATGGGAGATGTAGTTCTCCGCTGGCTAGATTATGAAGACCCTGACAAGCGTGCTGAGAGGTGGAGGTGGTGTCCACCCACGCTGCTTCATTGGCGGCGGCAGCAGCCTCAGCGCTAGCACCGCTGCAGGGTTCCGGCGGCTGCTTCTTCTGCCATTTGGCATATAAAAAAGAGATCAAAAGAATTTGACAAGAAAAATTTTGAGGCCAAATGGTGCATCAATTTACATCTTGTGCAGCTCCCTACTTTGCACGTTGATCAGTGGTGCTTTGCCTGAGGGCAAATGGTCTATAGATCCTTTTACCTAGTGGGCTAATTGATCTCTATTTCTGATTTTAATGTTTTATTTTATTTTACTCTATGGTGCTTATCTGATGGTTGTTAGGCAACTGTAGTTTAGGTAGATGTATTTAAATCTTGATGCTGCTTTACTACACATCTATAAGATCCAGCGTTTCCTTTGCACTTACATGGCTCTTATTTATCATCATAGAGATTAGGAGCCATAGTCATGGACCAGTGTACAGGGTTCTGTACAAACACAGAACAAAAGACAGTCCCTGCCCCAAAGCACTTACACTGGTAAACTTCATCATCTTGAATTTCAACTACAGCAACCTTCTCTCTGGCTTTAATAGATGCTATATCGTCCCACTTACATCCATTCATAATGATGCTGCAAAGATCATATTCACACATGCCATCTTACAGCCCCGCCCTCCTCCTTGCATCCCTCCACTGGCTCCCATTTCTCCATTAGGTTAAACATACGCTACTTGTCTTCACTTTTAAGGCCCTTCGTAGAGTATCTCCACTCTACATATGATCTCTTAAATGCTATTGTAATGTCAACCCTTGCCTTTCCTCTGGCAATGATGCCAACTTTAGAATCATAGAATATCAGGGTTGGAAGGGACCTCAGGAGGTCATCTAGTCCAACCTCCTGCTCAAAGCAGGACCAATCCCCAATTTTTGCCCCAGATCCCTAAATGGTCGCCTCAAGGATTGAGCTCACAACCTTGGGTTTAGCAGGCCAATGCTCACACCACTGAGCTATCTCTCCCCCTTGCATTGTCCAGTTGTCACAACCTTGCCACACCTCGGTTTCCTCATTTAAAATGGAGATTTTAATATTTACTCAGTGTACTGGAGTGATATGAGACTGACTTGGAAGGAAGTCATTATAGAAGTGTGAAGATTTGCTTATTGTGAAAATCTCCTTATACTGACTGATTTTCTAGCTATATATCACACAAATTTTAATAATTCCACAAGTGCACTTCTACATGTATGCCACTGTGGTAACAGTATATGCAAATTATGCAAATCTGAATTTATTCTATCTAGAGGGGGGGATGGAGACCAAATACAACGTGAAACAGCTTGTTAAACACAAGGGTAGGATACATGTAGGATACTGCTTAGAACTAAGGGCTTGGCTACACTTGCGAGTTAGAGCGCATTAAAGCAGCCCTGGGCGCCCTAACTCATGATGTGTCCACATTGGCAAGGCGTGTAGAGTGCCCGGACTCCGCAGCTGGAGCGCTCCTGGTAATCCACCTCTACGAGAAGCATAACGCTTGCTGCGCTCCACCTGGGGCGCCGCGGCTCCAATGTGGACGCCCTGGTCTACTAATGCACTCTGATCGGCCTCCAGAAGTGTCCCACAATGCCTATTCTAGCCACTCTGGTTATCACTTTGAACTCTACTGCCCTGCCCTTAGGTGACCAACCATCAGACACACCCTTTAAATTCTCTGGGAATTTTGAAAATCCCCTTCCTGTTTGCTCAGTGAGGCGTGGAGTGCTCTCAGCGAATCTTTCCAGGTGACCATGCCTCCACACACCAGGTGATCCCCGGTATGGAGCAATGGCAAAGTCCTGGACCTCATCAGTGTTTGGGGGAGGAAGCTGTCCAGTCCTAGCTGCGCTCCAGCCATACGAATTACGATACCTTAGGGCAGATATCGAGGGACATGATGGAAAGGGGCCATGACCGGGATGCACTGCAGTGCAGGGTTAAAGTGAAGGAGCTGCGGAATGCCTATCGCAAAGTGCGCAATGCAAACTGCCGCTCCAGTGCTGCCCCCGCAACCTGCTGTTTCTACAAAGAGCTGGAAGCAATACTTGGGGGTGACCCCACCTCTACTCTTTAGACCACCATGGACACTTCAGAGCCCAGTTCAACAAGGCAGGAGGAGGAGGAAAGCGGGAGCAAGGGTGCTGAAGAGGAGGGAGACAGCCCGGCATCCCTAGATGCATGCAGGAGCTGTTTTCAAGCCAGGAGGAAGGTAGCCAGCCGCAATGGATGGTGCTTGGGAAAGAACAAACACTTGAGGAGGTGCCTGGTAGGCAGTTTTTATTTTGGGAAGAAAGTTGTTTGGTGCGGGCTCATGGGGCAAGGAGGGTTAGGGCTGCATGCATGCCTAGATGCGGAATAGGGTGTTGATGTGCTCTCTCATATCACAGTAATCGGCCTCAGTGATCTCTTCAAAGGTCTCATGCAGAAGGTGGGCAATGCGCTTGTGCAGGTTCCTTGGCAGAGCTACTGTGCTCCTTGTCCCAGTAAAGCTAACAAGTTAAAGAAGTATGGGCTGGATGAATGGACTATAAGGTGAACAGAAAGCCGGCTACATTGTCGGGCTCAATGGGTAGTGATCAATGGCTCCATGTATAGTTGGCAGCCGGTATCAAGCGGAGTACCCCAGGGGTCAGTCCTGGGGCCGCTTTTGTTCAATATCTTCATAAATGATCTGGAGGATGGCGTGGATTGCACCCTCAGCAAATTTGCAGATGACACTAAACTGGGAGGAGAGGTAGATACACTGTGTTAGAATATAGATATTCAGGCCTGTTTGTAAAGGCCTATATGCTAAGAATTTAGGTGTATTCTTATCACTTGTCTAGTTATAGAGGTATAAAAGAAAGAATCAAAATCAGTCTGCCGGTGTAAGGGACTTCTCTTACTGTGACAGTCTGAGGCCCTGTTCTTAGGCTAAGGCCTTTGGCTAAGCAACAGAGGCAGCCATAAGCTGGGAAGCGACAGGTCACATCCTGTCATTTCCACGGTAAACATCTGATGAAGTGAGCTGTAGCTCACGAAAGCTCATGCTCAAATAAATTGGTTAGTCTCTAAGGTGCCACAAGTACTCCTTTTCTTTTTGCGAATACAGACTAACACGGCTGTTCCTCTGAAACAGGTCACATCCTCACATTCCAAACTAGTCACACTGAAATAAGGTGCTATTGAGCTGTTAGGAATACAATCCTATCCTGATAATGCCTATCGCCTCCAGATAAAGGGAAGTGCCTAGAAGATGTAAAAGGAAACTTAGTTTGATAGCATCCTGTCTGGCAAGAACTCACTTATCAATAGCTGGGATGGGAAATCCTCACTTCTGGTTTTTTTTGTCATTATAGTTCCCACTTTGCTATTGTTTGTCTGTATAATCTCTGTCTGGTTCTGTGATTGTTCCTGTCTGCTGTATAATTAATTTTGCTGGGTGTAAACTAATTAAGGTGGTGGGATATAATTGGTTAAATAATCATGTTACAATATGTTAGGATTGGTTAGTTAAATTTCAGGAAAATGATTGGTTAAGGTATAACTAAGAAGAACTCAAGTTTTACTATACAGTCTGCAGTCAATCAGGAAGTGGGTGGATGTGTGTGGGGGAAATGGGAACAGGGGTGGGGAAATTGGAATCATGTTTAGCTAAAGGGGAAAATGGGAACAGGGACACAGGTAAGCCTCTGTGGTGTCAGAGCTAGGATGGGGGAGACTAATGAAGGAAACTGGAATCATGCTTGCTGGAAGTTCACCCCAATAAACATCGAATTGTTTGCACCTTTGGACTTCGGGTATTGTTGCTCTCTGTTCATGCGAGAAGGATCAGGTAAGTGGGTGAAGGAATAAGCCCCCTAACATGCTGGAGGGTAGAGATAGGATACAGAGGGACGTAGACAAATTAGAGGATTGTGCCAAAAGAAATCTGATGAGATTCAACAAGGACAAGTGCAGAGTCCTGCATTTAGGATGGAAGAATCCCTACAGACTAGAGACCGAATGGCTAGGCAGGAGTTCTGCGGAAAAGGACCTAGGGGTTACAGTGGACGAGAAGCTGGATATGAGTCAACAGTGTGCCCTTGTTGCCAAAAAGGCTAACGGCATTTTGGGCTGTATAAGTAGGGGCATTGCCAGCAGATCGAGGGACGTGATCGTTCCCCTCTATTTGACATTGGTGAGGCCTCATCTGGAGTACTGTGTCCAGTTTTAGCCCCACACTACAAGAATGATGTGAAAAAATTGGAAAGCATTCAGTGGAGGGCAACAAAAATGATTAGGGGACCGGAACACATGACTTATGAGGAGAGGCTGAGAGAACTGGGATTGTTTAGTCTTGTGGAAGAGAAGAATGAGGGGGGATTTGATAGCTGCTTTCAACTACCTGAAAGGGGGTTCCAAAGAAGATGGATCTAGGCTGTTCTCAGTGGTAGCAGATGACAGAACGAGGAGTAATGGTCTCAAGTTGCAGCAGGGGCGGTTTAGGTTGGATATTAGGAAAAACTTTTTCACTAGGAGGGTGGTGAAGCACTGGAATGCATCACCTAGGGAGGTGGTGGAATCTCCTTTCTTAGAAGTTTTTAAGGTCAGGCTTGACAAAGCCCTGGCTGGGATGATTTAGTTGGGGATTGGTTTAGCAGGGGGTTGGACTAGATGACCTCCTGAGGTCCCTTCCAACCCTGATATTCTATGATTCTATGTCCGCACCACTGTGCCGTGACAGGCAGGGGGACCATTGCTGCACACAGGCAAGCTACATATGGGCCAGAGCAGAAGCTGCATTTTAGTAGAAGACACTCCGTTGCTTCCCAGGTCACCCTCAGCAGCGAGATATCTTCCAGGATGAACTCATCCTGTGGAAAATGTGGGGACAGTGTTCAGTAAGGGGGCCCCCTG